GGAAGGAAGGAAGGAAGGAAGGAAGGAAGGAAGGAAGGAAGGAAGGAAGGAAGGAAGGAAGGAAGGAAGGAAGCCATTTAGATTGTCACTGTGCAGCTCTCCTGCAGTGCAATGGTGGTGCCTCCTGGATCTGTTCTCAACACTCTGGTCCATGTGCTCACTTCTCGCCATCAGACTTTCTATCTGCAGAAGGAATATAACAGTGCCAGATGGGTTTGTTAGCTACGTTTGTTTCTGTTGTGAGGTGCTTTACTCATGCTACATTGTCCTTTTCATAGGCAACGTGGAAACTAAGTGTTACTATACAGATGCAGATCAATAATATTATATATATGGTATATATGATATGCTATATGTACTAGCTGACAGAATTTATTTCTTTGGGTTTTTAAAGAAACTTTTTCTTACACATCAGATAACAAAGACAAACATTTTTTTAAAAAGGTTTATTTATTTTAATCGTTTTTCAGTCCTGGGGAGGAGGGAATGTAAATGTGAGTGTAGTGCCCTTGGAGACTTCAGGCATCAGATCCCTTGAGAACTGAACCTGCATCCTGAGGAAGAACAGTGCGTGCCCTAAACACTGAGCCATCTCTCTAGCCCCAACAGATACGTTAAACCTAATAGAGTACCCACGGTATCCTCTGTAGGAGTTGAATACAGGAAGCTTCTAGCAGTTAATCACTTCCGAGTCTTCCTTTTGTGATTTAACTGTCTATTTCTCCTTAAAAAGAAAAGCACAAATATCGCTTTATGATTCACTAACCAATGTTTATCAATATGGAATATTTATAGATACTCTTTGAAAATGATTCCAAGCTTGTATATACTACAGTGCATGAGAACTTCATTTTCCTTCCCACTTCTATCAAATTTAAATAATTTTCTTAGAACATTTTGCTTGTTAATAGTATTCACAAAATATGAGTTTGAAGATTGTAAAATTAAAAGTATGGGCTTTTCTACACCTGCTCTGTCTCCCAGATAATGACATGAAGACCTATTATGTTTCTGGTAAGCTTTAAGCAATATAGTTGGACAGATAATGAGCTATTTTAACCTATCTATGCTAATCTGCACTATTTCCTAGCCACGTGCCCCATTACTTGCCATCTTAATCTTACCCTGGCTGCACCTGCTCCATCCATGTTTTCCTAACAACTTCTTCATGGTGACCTCTTCATGACAGCCTTCTTCTGGTGATCTCCTTCTCTCTTTTCTCACCACCTGCTCCTTCCTATTGCAAGTCCTGCCCCAACTCTCCTGCCCTCCTGTGGGCTGTTAAGCTCTTTATTAACTGACCAGAGATGATGGAGAACAAGTTTTATACAACAGTGAGACAGGAGATGCTTCAATAATAATGGCAATGCCCACATCCAGACTGCAACCAGATCTCTGGGCATAGAAATCAGCATTTGAATGCACAGCACATAAAACCATCCCCCAACAGAAGATGTTTTAGGTAAAGCCCTTTCCCTTGTCCTTGTATCAACACATACCATGCACGTACTGTTAGTAGAGCATTTTGGAATATCTTATAGGGTAACGTTCCTTGGTAGAACTAAAGTCTGTAGAAGCATCATGAAATGTTTACCCTTGTTTCAGTTTGGCTGAGAAAAGAAAGGGAAGTACCCATCTTTCTCTTGATGACAAAGAGTTTACTCTCATAATGTGTTTCTATAAAGCCTGGTTGAACTACTCTTAGGAATGTTTTAAGAATTAAGTCAACACCTTATTAGCATAAAAATAGAGTTGTGAAACTGAAGCTTTCATGTTGTATAAACAATAACCTCAAACTGGTTGGGAACAGGAAAAACCAAACAGAGTCCCATGTTATTTGAAATACATACATACATATATATATATATATATATATATATATATATATATATATATATTTAGAAATATATATTTCTATATATTTAGAAATATCCTTAGACATGGTCATCTTTTTGCTATTCTGCCTTTCATTAAGATACGACAAGCCTTGTGTCTTTTAGCTTTATGTTCGTGCCTACTAGTCTGTGTATTTTTGGTGACGCTTTGAGTGTCAAAAGGTTGATATTGTACCCTGCAAAGCATCTGTGACTTTTAAGGGTGAAATGCTGCTCAAAAATCAAGGAAGATATCTTCAGCTTAATGAGAAGCACTAACTGTGACACAGTTAAGAAAAAGTAGTGAGTCTTAGGTTTGGTGATTTCTCTCATCCTGAAAATTATTACATTTTATGTTTTCTGGGAGAAATGTTACAGGACTTATCCTGTCACTCGGGTAAAATTTAAGAATTCACGTGTTTGTAAGATAACTGTTAACTTAAGAGTGGATGGGAGCCAGGAAGACCCTGAGGAGCAAGGGGAGTGGTTGCCAGGATTCACGCTGTGCACGCTGCTGTCTGTGTGGAGCACAGAATTAAGAAAGGAAGACGATGGTTACAATTACTCCATAACCCGCAAACGGGCAGCGTGCCCAGCGATCTCCTTGCCCCCTGAGAAACAAGTAGTGTCTTGTACGTCGCATATCTTCCCTTTCTGTAATATACCTGGTAGTGATTTGTTCAGCTTACCAGAATTTTAAGATTTTGTGTCTTGAGAATTGATAGTAGAAGCATACATTGTATTTTAACAAAACAAAACAAACAACATGGAAAAATACTAGGTAAAAAGAACACCCTATATGCTGTTGGAAAGCCAAACAATTCTCCTAGCACATGTTTGTTCTGTTCACTTTAGGGAGGTGTGGTTACTGCAGTTTTCCAGGATATATTCGTATTATCTGTTTTTCTCTATGGAAAATATAGGAGAAAAAGCTATACGTATGCCAAGTGACCCACTTGATAGATTAGGAGAAAATCTGGTCTAATTTAAATAGTGAAGCTATAAAATGAGAAATCTTAGGAGTGAATAGTTTAGCTTTTTATTTGTATTGGATTGTAATTGTAACTAATTTGTTTTACAACTCCCTTTGGAGAGCATACTTCAGTTCTGAAGTTACTAAGTAGATCAGGAATATTTTATGAGAAGTTAAGTTGATATAATACCCAATAAATGTAATCCTATTTTCCCTCTGCACAGTTGCTAACTGCCATTCCTTTACTTCCTGGCTTTTTAAAAATCTTATTTTCATTTTATTGCTTTTACCAGATCATATAAAATGACACATTTTGTTAACATGAAAGAAACAGTCCTTATTTTTAGCAATTTGATTTGATTTGATGTTTATAGTTATCCTTAATCCAAAAGTACCTAACTTTTTCAGAAATGCTACATTAAAAATGTGTTATTGGTAGTTTTTATTACTGCAAGTCTTAATTAAAAAATATGAAAACCATGGAACAGATTTTTGAAGCAGAATTATAAGGCCCAGTGACTTGATTAGTTTCATGCTTCATTATTTATAGCTTGGGAAAAAAATGCAGATTCTAAATTAAAGTGTCAATATTGCAGTTGAAATTTGTGATTATAGTGTCTATTAATTTTGATGCAGTGTTCATGGAGCATGGTGTTATATTTGAAAATAATAGAGTAGAAATGTGAGAAGGGGATATTTACAAATGTTACTAGGTTCTTTGGACCACATTTCTTGGAGATGTATCTGTTCAGTTTTTCTAAAT